AATTCTTGAGTGACTTTCTACGTACAATTCTTTTTGTCAATGGCAGACCACGCGCCGTTACCAACGGTCATAACGCAGTCTCAACCAAAGCCAGAACGATACAATCACACAATTAAATTGATATCAATTGATGTCAATCTGCCATTGACAAAAAGAATTGTACGTAGAAAGTCACTCAAGAATTAGTATATATTATTCGGACAAGCAAAATCCAGTCCTGACCGTTTACGGCGTTTTTCCTTGTTTGATTGTATCTTACACGGTCGTATAATCTCATACTTATTGTTTACTCGATAAAATTTTGTAACAAAAAGTTTATTGTTTTATATAAGCTACGTTTTAATATTCATTGCATATTGAAAGTATACGTAACAATAATTATAGATTTTCAGTACAAACAGTAAATATTAAGACACAGTTATACTGGACCTTGTATTTTTATATTACACATATTTAAGCAATTGTAAATAATAATTATTACTATTTTTAATTATTACTATCTTAATTACTATTTTTGAATTATATTATAGTATTATTGCGTTACATTCAGACAGCTAAAAAATTTTTATGCAGTACAGCATAAGTAATGAATATTAAAACGCAGCCTATATGAAGTAATTAAACTTTCTATTCTTCATTAAATAAAGCTTTTCATGAGGTGATTTAATATTCATTGGAGAAATCTACAAACTTTTACTTGCTTTGCACTACGCGAGAATTTTTTAGCTGTCTGAATGTAATATAATAACACTATAATATAATGCAATAATAATAATCCATTATCTATATTTGCTTAAATATGTAATATAAAGATACAAGGTCACATATAACTGTGTCTTGATATTCACCGTCCATACTAAAAATATACAGTTACTGTTACGTATACTTTAGATTTTCAGTACAAGCAATGAATATTGAAACGTAACTTATATGAAGCAATTAAACTTTTTATTACTCACTTACCTATTAAACAAAGCTTTTCATGAGGCGTTTAAATTTTAAAACATTATTATTATTATTCGCTACCACGAACATTACATTACATTACTCGTAGTGAAAATCTAAAGTTTACATAACGGTAGCTAGATTTCAAGTGTGAATAGTTAATATCAAAACATAGTTATCCTTGTAATCTCATATGTCACATATAAACAGATATAAGTAATAAATGAAACAATTTAACTTTATATTCCCTGCTTACCTATTAAATAAAGTTTTCTATGAGTCACTGAAGGCATCTTTTAAGGAAGGGCTTGAGCAGAATAGCTGACTTATAATTTTAAAACAATGTTTTATGCTTTAATTCTTTGTCTTTCGTAACGCACAATACTGTCTTGTGTTCTCAAGACTCTCAAGTCTTAAACATTGTTGACAGTTTCGTAGAGCCTAAGCAGAATGGCTGTCTTGACAGTGTTTTATGCCCTGAGTTTTATGCCACAATACTGTACAGTATTGTGCGTTACATAAGACAAAGACTTAAGGCATAAAACACTGTCAAGACAGCCATTCTGCTTAGGCCCGAAGTACGAAGCTTTCTATTCTCTTCTTTCTCTCTCTGTTTCCAAAATTATTCGATGTAACTGTATAATAAAAAGTTAAAGTTTAATTGCTTTATATAAACTACAATAATTATCTTTTTTGCAAAGTAACAATACGTTTTCTTTGCACCAATTGATTCATCTTATTATTCTGTACATAAAAGTGTTAAAGTACAGTTACCAAAAAATGAATAGTTTACGAGATATTTTATATTTTATGTCAAAAAGTACCAGAATAAAATATGAAATATTTTGTAAACTATTTTGATAACTCTACCTTAAAATACCTTTATATGTAGAATAATTAGAAGAATCATATTATAAAAAAAAAATTATACAATTCTGTGTATAAAAAAATAACGATGACCTTTATATAACGATTTTTTGAAAATTAGTTTTACCATTATTTGACTTCTTTGATATCCTACAACTTTTGTCTAAAACGTTTTTCCACATCTTCCATATTTTTTTAGATTTCCCTGGAGTATTTAAAATAGCACACCCTGTATATACATTGTTACGTTATTGTATTATAATATTATATCATGTGATGAAATTGGTAATTTTATTGATTTTAATAATAGTACGTAATATAATAACATATATATATATATATATATATATATATATATATCAGCATAGATACGTAATATACATACATATATATAATAATCTTACCACAAACAAAATAATCTATATGTGATCTTTCCATTTCTTGGTGATTATGTAGTATAACACGACACCCTCTCCGATTTCTTCTTCTTTACTTCTTTTTCATTAATCACATGTTGAGAACTTCTTCACATAACCACGATAACCTGATAAATATTTGATCTAGCTGTCAAAAAATTTATCTGATTAATTAAAATTATTGTTTGATGAATTAGTAAATTATAAGCAATATATTTTTACACATCCATATAGATACACACATACTTGACGTACTTGACGCTGCTTTTTTACTCCTGTCGCATTTTTCCACGCACACACACACACACACACACACACACACACACACACACACACACACACACACACACACACACTATCTGTCACGTATACTACGTTTACGCGAACGTTACTTCTGTATGTACTTATATATGATAATTCCTCCACGTAAAGCGGGGTTTTGTAGTAGTTTATGATAATTCATCCCGCGTAATAAACGAGTAAATTATCGTAAATTACTATACAGAAGTAACGCTCGCGTAAACATAATAACGATCACGACTGTCACTATAATACCTATCTCCGATCCGCTGATATTTCGCGTGGCACTTCGATCCTTGCGTGACGCGACCGAAATTCAGAATTAAAGATTTTATATTTATAATAATGATGAGAGATCACATTAATAATAATATTAACCTCGCGACACGACGCGGGACGATTAACCTCGAGAGCTGTCACATCACGACACACACACGACGCACTACACGCACGAAGCTCGCACGAAACTCGCCACACTCCGCGATGACAGTCCCTCACGGGATGAAGCAAGCTACGGCGCGGCAATCAATCGAGATAACCAATCAGCATCGCGGTAAAAAGGCAACAATAAATTCGACTATCGACTTAACACGGCAATTTTAAGATAGGATAATACTGACTGGACTGAAACTTTGTAAACAGGCTTGTTTTAGGGTACTATTTAACATATTAAAAGTCCCCACGTGTAGACGCTACGTTGCGGGCAGGGGAGAGTCCAAAAGGTCCAAAAAATTAGTTTCTCGCAAATAACTCGGAAAATATCAACTTTACGGAAATTTATGTAGATATTAAAATTGTAGCTTACAAAATTCCGCACAATTTCATTTTTTATTCAAGTCTGTACGACCAAATAGAGCAGAGATAGAATTTTTTTAAACATCGGTAGTTTTGCAACGCAACGAAAACGCGTACGCGCGTCGCGCATTTTTCGCTAATATCTCGAAAATGGACTCTTGAATCGAAAAATGTTTTAAATAAAAGTAGTAGAGAATCTAATTACAAACAATTTCGTTTTTTATTTATTTTTGTACGGTCCAAATTCGCCGAGTTATTAATTAAAAGACAATTTTATTTTATGTTGATAGTGGATGTTTTGCATGTAAAAATCAGTATTAACTCTGAAAGTATAGGTCGTACACATATAGTATATATAATGAAAGTTAAAGAGAATAAAATTTTGAACATGTTGATGTATGCATGAATCCATTTTGGTAAAGATAGCTTGAAGTTAAGAGCAAAAAACATGAAAAAATGTCATTTTTTAGTGCATTTCGGAAAATAACTTTTTCTAATTGGTTGGAGGCAGTAATGTTATGTATTTTTCTTGAAGATATTTTAATTATCTTTAAAATGAGACGTCGTAGACCTTTTTTCATTGAAACGTTGATGAATTACAGGCGTTTAAATATTGAAGAAAAAAAATCAATTTTTGTTAAATTAACATTTTAGTCCAAAAATATATGGATAATAATTTTTCAAAAATTTATTTTACCTTGTTTTCATTACTTCATATATATATGAACGTGCTGGAGTAGTATAAGTCCTTCGCAAAGTATGTTTTATTTAAAAAAAAGTTCATGAATATTGCTGTATTTTTGATAAATTGTGGAAAAATTGCATTATCATTCCTTTTTTTATAAATATCTCCGTTTCTATTAACTTTACGAAAAAACTTCAAGAGACCGAAATTAAAGCTGACAAAATTTCCTATAAATTGGAGTTTATGACATGTAATTTTGAATGCATTGTGATGGGAAACTGGCGTTTCAAAAGACAGGTAAGTTTACGTATGTAGCAGATCATCACTATGAGTCGCCTGAAATGATGAAAAAACGTGTCCTTAACATTTTTCTGTACCTATTGAAGTGTCAGAAGTTATTTTTGGGGTCTTTCTGAATTGTTTGGTACTAAGCCGATATTTTTAGGACCGATAGTACTGTACATAGGTATTAAAGATTGAGAAGAGTCCTTAGTCGATATGCGGCGCGCGGCGTGGCAAACACTTTACGACTCGTTTTATTTAAAAAATCATAACTCACGAACAAATTGACGAAACTTAATGATCAAACACGCAAATTAAAGCTAAAAGTAGTGCAAATGAGAAAAAAATATGAAATAATTATTAATTAAATAAGAATACTTAATTTCGTCGCCGCAAATTTAGTAATTTTTAAATGGTACAAAAGGACTTTAAGGACTTAAAGAATGCTAGAAAAAGAATTTCTGAATAAGAAAAAACGAATTTGAAGTGTGACAGATATTTTTTATGTAAAAAAATTAATTTATTATTTATTATTATTATTATTAGTAATATTATTATTATTATTTATTTATTATTTATTGAGTTTATTATTTATTTTTAATTATTATTTATTGAGTTTATTATTTATTTTTAATTTTTTAATTGATTTATTAATTTTTTAATTTTTTTTTTTTTTTCTTAAATTAATAGCATGTAAATGCAAATCAAATTGCACCGGGTCATGTGGCTGCAAAAAGGCAGGGTTAAGATGTTCTGACCTCTGTGCTAATTGCAAACAGAACGGCTGCCTAAATATGTTCATATCTGACGAAATGAGCGATTCCGAATCGGATGAAGACTATTCAAATAGTGCGCAAATAAAGAAGAAGAAGAAGAAGACTAACAACTAATTTCCATCGTATCTCTTCTATGGCGGTTATAAATTATTTAAATATTCATATTTCTTCAATTTTTCACTGTACAAAAATGAATAAAACACGAAATGGTTCGTAATTAGATTCTCTACAACTTTTATTTAAAACATTTTTCGATTCGAAAGTTCATTTTCGAGATATTAGCAAAAAATGCGCGAAGCACGTACGCGTTTTCGTTGCGTCGCAAAACTACTGGTGTTTAAAAAAATTCTATCTCTGCTTTATTTGGTCGTACAGACTTGAATAAAAAACGAAATTGTGCGGAATTTTGTAAGCTACAATTTTGATATCTACATAAATATCCGTAAAGTTGATATTTTCCGAGTTATTTGCGAAAAACTAATTTTTTGGACCTTTTGGACCCTCCCCTGCCCGCAACGTAGCGTCTACACGTGGGGACTTTTAATATGTTAAATAGTATCCTAAAACAAGCCTGTTTACAAAGTTTCAGCCCAGTCAGTATTATTTCCTCCAAATCGACAAATTTCGAGTCATTTTACTGGGCTAACTAGGTTTACGCGAGCGTTACTTCTGTAGTAAGTTACGATAATTCCTTCGCGTAAACGGGATTCTGTAGTAACTTATACGATAATTTACTCCGTGTAAATAAGTAAATTATCGTAAGTTACTATAGAAGTAATGCTCGCGTAAACGTATAGTATAGGTAAATTTTACTATGGTAGGAAGTGGAGTCAAGTTCTCCAATTACGAGAATCTTCCGACGTCAAAAAGGCCACGACTTTCCGCTAATTTCGCCGAGGAAAAACTAATTTCGAACTCATTAAAAAATCACTACGAAATAAAACGGCAGCCTCAGATCATATATTCGCGACCGCATTTAAATTCGCTTCGCGAATTTCCCGAGAAAGCAGTCCGCTTATCTCTCGCAGATTGCAACGATGACTTTCTCGCGATATTATCAGGAGAATCTATTTTTCCTTGTCACTGTACAATCGAAAATCCATCAGCGTCATATTGCCTGCATCACCGTACCGCGATCGCGGAAATATATAAGACGAGCTCCATTACGCTTTACTGCGTTCTATCGCGGATCGATCTCTCGCAACCGCCCCGCCGAAATCGGTGCCAGACGACGGGGGCGATTATCTTGAAGGCTCGCGTAGAAAGGCGATGCATCACGCTTTATATATAAACGAATTAGCTCTCTTATATGCGAGGAATACTTTCATGGCGAGGCGCCGTCGAAAGCGTGTCATTAATCGCCGGCGCGCTTCTGGTTACGCTCACTAACCTTGAGGCGGATCGATAGGTCTGGCGAGGCTGGCGTCTTCCAGCGCGCAGCGATGTGACTTTACCTAGAGCGCCAATGGAGCGGCCGGCTGTCACTAGCACCAACAACCGCGTATGTGCTAACTGCTACTGGATACGCACCGTAACTGCGATGAAACAAAACGATTTTGCGTCACGTCACGTCACGTTTCGAGCGCGCACACGCACATGAACCATGAACCCACTGGCCACCACCACGCTCGGATCGCAAATGAGCCGAATGATTGCTCAAGCACAGTGAAATGAGTGAAGTGAGTGAAGTGAAGCGCGGCACAGTCGAGGGAGTCGAGCAGGAGCAGGCTGTCGACTGTCGGGCACAGTAGCGCGGCGTCACGTGGCTAATGTCCCATGAGTCACGTGACCATGCCGAGCCAATGGAACACGTCGCAATGCGCGCGCACACGACGATAACAAGGTGGCTATCGTCATACGCGGGAAACAGGGCGTTTTGAATTATGCGATATTCCGTCTCCGATTCACGCTTTCTTAAGACTTTCTTTTAAAATGGAACACGTGTATATCCAAACATTCCGCGGAGAAAACAATAATGAAGTAAAATAAAAGAAAAATATACCTAAAAATGACGATAACTTACAAGGGAATGTTTAGAACTATCCCTCACCGATTTTCAATAGGTTTTGGATATATTACAGAGTAGCAAAAAATAACAGACAGTATTTTTTTTATCGGCTTTGAAGCATGTTTAGGGATTGAAACAACCCCTCGAAAGAAATTCTTTGTATTTAATTACGAGTGAATATTTCTGAAACCGTAAGATATATGAAAAAATGTTTTAGACAAAAAGTTTTAGATTACGGTATTAAACTCTATTACGGTATTAAATTGATCTCTGTAATCGTGTATTTAGATTTTTTACTGTCATATTTTTTCAACATACTCCTTAATGTTATTTTTGCAAAAATATGACTTTAAAAAATCTAAATACACGATTACAGAGGTCACTTAATACTGTAATCTTTTCGGCTAAAACATTTTTTTTATATATACAGTAAAAAATAAATAAATTTTAACATTTTTTACATGTCCCAGAAAATCCACTCTAAAATGACTCCATTCATCATGTGTTACTTGTTGACAAGTGAGAAATGCTAATTAATTGACACTATACTTTACATTTATATTTGTTTTTTTTACTTTATTTTACAAGTTATATTAACACATGTGTAATAGAAACATTTAATTTTAGTAAATTTAATTATTTTGTATGTTAAAGTTTACGATTATTTGAAAATTTACGTTTAACTTTTGTTTATGTGTTAAAATAACTTTAAGACGTGTAGATTTTTTAAAGTAATTGTGTTAAAAGAACAAATTAATATTTAATTTCTAAATGACATATATAAAGTGTTAAGTTATCACGTTGACATAAATGTAACACATGAAAATGTTAAAAACAAAATAGCTGTTGT